CCTAGAGAAAGCTATATCAGCTAATGAATCATAATCATTGGCCTCAGAAGGAATTCAAACCCTGATTTATTGGGTTTACAATATAAAAATTTAGGGTCCAAAAAAAAAGCATTATAGAGGTACCATTTTTCACACGGGGGGGTCTGAATAAATTTGGAAAATTTAGCATTATAGAGGTACCATTTACTAATCAGGATCCAACATTAATGTAATGAACGAATGTATGTATTGTGTGATGTGATGTGATGTGATGTGATGTGATGGTATGGTATGGTATGGTATTGTAATGTAATGTTATGTTTTGTTATGTTATGTTATGTTATGTATGTATGTACGCATGCATGCATGCATGTATGTATGTATGTATGTATGTATGTATGTATGTATGCATGCATGCATGCATTTTTTCCTAAAGTGTTTTTTGCTGCTGTTGCACGAGGGCACTTTGGCCGGGGCGGCCGCTGCAGCTGCTTGTAGCCGAACTTCTCCAGCTAGAAGTAGTCCACCTGAACGAGAGGGTCCTCTTCGCCAGGTTCTTCCTCTGCTTGTTTGTCTTGGCTAGTTGTCATGGCCGTAGGAGCTTGTGGTAAGCTCGAGGGCTTTGCAGCCAAGAATTTGAGCTTCTTTGGTGCTGGAGGGAAGTCGCTTTCCTTTGGTGTGGGCAGCTGCTGCGGCATGCCTGAAGCCGGCTGGGCGTCATGGCCTGTAGCCGCGTGGCTGTGGCTGCCTGCGTAACTCAGCTCCCTGATGGGAAGCTGGCTGATCTGAGAATCAGAAAGTCCTGTAGCCCTGGGTGCAGAGGTCACTTCACTGTAAGTGAGCTGTCTCGGTGCTAAGGGTGATGTGGTGTCTGATGTATTGTCCTGCGCCTGCCTGACCGGTTGTGGCTGGGGTTCATGGCCTTCCGGTAGCAGGGCAGGTGCTTGTGATGTGTCTGATGCTGTCGCTGGTGTGCCTGCTTCGGGATGGCTAGTTTCAATTTGACTGGCCTTGACTGTTTGCCTTCTGAAGATCTCAGTGATCGGTGGTGATCAGTGGTGATGCTGATCCTTTACAGTTCTTCTGGAGGGGAGGGCAATTGTGAGGATTGGCCTGTTCTGAGCATGTCTGTGTTGGGGTCACAATTCTTGCAATGCAATCGATCTCCTCTCTGCCACAAAGTGTGGCTGGCATGTCCTGGATGCGGCTGGTCGTAGAGCCTGTTGATGCATGGGCCCTTGGACAAAAGCTTGGAATGCATCTTCGTTGGTGCGCTTGTGCACACTGTTGCCACAGTTGGCACATTTCAGATACCCCTTGGTTTCCTCTAGAGTATGCTGGCTGTCTGATTGCTGGTTGGTCTGCTTGGCCAAAAGATTGGCAGGTGCTCTTTTTCTGGATTGGCTTGTGTGGGCTGTGGTGCTCGGGATAGCTGGCCTCAAGCTGAAGTTGAGGGCACACCTGTTCCAGTCGTTCTTCAATTGTTGTGGCAGTGAGGGCTTGGTGGACTCTTTCCCCACAAGCACTGCATTGGTATCCACTTCTGTGTGGTTGCCATCTGTGGAAAGGTTCTTTCCAAGGCTTGCGACAGTGTTGGACAAGCTGCTTCTTGTGCTGTTTGGTCTGACGCCCTTGGTTTCTGGGGGCCTTCTGGTGGAGATAACGCTCCTTGTCGGAGTAGATCTTAGCCAGTCTTGCTGCTGCATGTTTGTAGATCTCAGCATGATCCTTGTCAAGCACAGCTTGCCATTCAGTGGCTTTCCTGTCATGGAGAGCATCAGCTCTTTCCCACGCAGCCAGGGCCGCGTCCCTCTGGCGTCGTTGAAGGTGTGGTTCACTGCCTGGGGTATCTGGTGCGCGTGTGTTCTTGCTGACATAGAGAACCGTCACTTGCTGGAAATCTGACTCTGTCAGGCCCTCATACAGCTCTTGGTAGTATGCTCTGTGTTTTGGGTGGGTCCAAGCTTCCTAAACTGCAACAACCTGCACAATCACCTTCACAGAGGTGCTGGTGTACTTGGCAAGTGCAGCCAGACCTGCCACCAACGCCCGGGTTTTGGTCTGCGGGTGTGTTGGAATCCCTGTGATCGCACCAAGTCTGTGCAGTTGTCCCATGTGCAGAGTGTGTACACAAAGACCAAACACCCACAGCTGGCTTCTCTGGTCATAGGTAGATGGCGTAGCATCTAAGGTGAATGCCCACCCTTGGTATTGGTGCGGTTGGGGCACAGGAAGATCCTTCCACGTGCCATGTCCTTGGCATTGGTGCTGGAGTTGCCGGTGTTCTTGTGGTTCAAGAGGTACCCAGCCAGCATTCCACAGGGGCTCCTCGTCATGTTGAGTGAGCCTTTCGGCCCATTCTGGAGGCATGGGTTTGTGGCCTCGTGCATGGTGCCATTTGCGCATCCACACAATGTGCTTTGGTGTGGCGGGTACGCCGCAAATGGGGCATAGCTTGGGTTTGCCATTCTCTCTGTAGTGTATGGCACCCTGGACCCATGTTTTGAGGTGGTTTCTATGCTCTTTGGGCATCCGCTTGACTTGCTGACGGTACACATGCCAATCCAAGCCAGTGAGGAGATGCTGGTGGTGTTGCCTCTGAGGCAACCGTGTGATCCGCTGGCTCCTGGCCTCAAGGAGCAAAGCCTTTTCTATCTTCCACCAAGGGTCTTGAATGCTGATCTCATTCTCCAACATGTAGTCCGTGGCCGTCTTGTCCACCTGAGAAGACTGTTGGCTTGCCAGTTCCATTCGGCCAAATAGGCAATGGCAGCTGCAAGAGGTCCTTTCACAGTGTACCATGGGTCAGTCTTGTGGGTCAGCTGTTGATGGATCTGTTGCCAAGCCTGCTCCAAGTGGGGAATCTGGTCAGTTGGCCATGCATGGTAGAGATTGTGGAGGGCTCTGATGTGGTGGATGACGATTTGATCGGCCGGGTCGAGGTACTTGTCGCTGTGGATGTCGTAAGTTGCATCCAGTGTGCCTCCGGTGTGGTGCCCCAATTGTGTGGCCAATGCGGTTCGCAGAGCTGTACGATATCGTGGTGCCAGGCCCTGAGCTTCCAAACCCCAAAGGGGGGGCTGGATTCCACCCCTGTGTAACCGGAGTCGCACCTTCAAGGAGGGTATCTTCAGAGACCTGAGTTTGAGTTTCCTCTGATGGGCTTTGGCAAAACGCTGCTTCATGACTGGAATTCGTCTTCTTCTTGCGGCTTGGTGATCTATTCCAAGATCCCTCATCACTGAGGCCACCTGCGGTTCATGGGGTTGAAGCAGGTCTCGTAGGGCTCTGTCAGTTGCCTTGTCTGTTGCTATGAAAGCTGTCTTCTTGGCATTAGCCTTGAGTGCAAGCCGGACCAGTCGGTCGTGGAGGTTGTGGTAGGCCTCAATGGCTGTTTGGGCAACCTGTATGTGTGTTCTGCCATGGGTGTCAAAGCCGACCTCACCCACCCAGCTCGACAAGTGCACTGCTTCATGTTGTTGTTTCCATGGAATGAGGGCTGGTGCTAATACTGCTTTTGCCAGAAGTGGTGCTTGAGGGCAGCCGGCTGGTATGCCTTGATCTAGTCGGAAGAATGGCGTGAACTCTTGTTCTGCTGAGATGGCTTTGGGTCCAGTGTACAGCTGCATTGCCAGCTCCAGCATCAGCGGTGGATAGCCCAGTTTCATTGCTTCGTCCTGGAGGCGGCTGAGGTTGATCGTGTCATAGAAGGTGGACATGTCCATCAAAACCGTGACTCCATGCAGGCCTCGTGCTCGATGGACTTCCTGCCTCAAGAGTTTTTCGAGTGCCACACGCAGGACATTGGCTCCTGGCCTTGCACGATCATGGGCCATTGTTGCCAGCAGGGTTTTTTGCCATTGGTCCAACAGCGGCTTGCGAAGTCTACACCAGGTCCTCCAAAGGGTCGATGTAAGTGTGATTGGTCTCTCAATAGTCTGGTTCTTGGGCAACATCACCACCATATGCATTTGGAGTTGAGTTGGCAATTCGGCTTGGGCTTCCATGGTATGGTACAGCTGGAGCAATGGTGCCAGGGAGAGTGGTGGTGCCGCTTTGAGGAGTTGTGTTGATACCGCGTCTGGTCCACTGGCTTTGTCCGCTGAGCTGACCTAATGTGATAGGCTCGAGCTCTTGTGCCTGTTGTGCTTCCTGTTGTAAGCTGGGTCTTATGGGCTTGGTTGTCTTCTCTGATGCCCCATCACCCCAATCTTTGAGCCTGTGGTTCATCCTCTCTGGCATGGGAACATGCCTGTAGGGTCTCTGCCAAGCAAGCTCACTGCTTTTGAGTCCTCGGAAAAGGCCCCGTCGAACCCTTTTGCTGTCCGGATTTGAGCCACTCTTGGTACTGCAGCGTGTTTTCATCATTGGCAAGCTGTTGTGCTTC